ATCTCAGATGTGGCAAATTTCTGTTGTGAAGAAGAATTTGTTTATTCCCTGCAATATTTCTTGCTTGAACTCTTATTCAGATATGAGGAATTTCTGATATGATGAACCATTTATTGGGTTCCTGGTGGGTTCTCCTTATCAGGTCTGTACTGTAGTGCACCAGGTAATTCTAAATAGTTCTCAATAGTTGTATGTAGTCAGTTTTCATAGCCCGCTGGCAGGCAACAGCTGTGCTTTTGTTAACATGTAACAACACAGTAGGGCAAATGAATCATGGACAGTTAGTTGAACAAAAAAGGATAAACAAAACTGTAAGCAGTAGAGATGTGTTATATAGACGATTATAGACAAATGGAGGGTAGTCCTGTTCCAGAACCAGAGTTTTTGCATGCAAATGTTTTACAGATCAGATTCATGGGTATGCAGACTGTTGCTTCCGTGCTTCGTAGGCAGAGGCACTCAGACTTTGAAGGAATTCTCTAAATTAAGCTGGCTCGTTGTGGATCTAAACCTAAAACCTTCAGGCAGGCCTGAGCAAGCAGCTAGCTACTACACCATGGCACATCAAACGATAAATTACTGAAAAATGCCGAGTGAACAGCAAGAGATGAACACAGAAGTTGGTTCAAATTTTGCGTGTACCACAAAGAACTGATCATCATCGTCATCAAGTGCATTGCCAGCTGGCGTAAGCATTCATGCATCGCCACAGATCTCGGTCTTCAGTATTCCAGATCAATTTTACTTAGATATTCCTTCATGCTACTGTTTTAAGCCATCCTCCACCATTTCTCTTGGTCTGTCTCTGCCTCTTCTACCAGTGACCTTTCCAGTCATCACAAAGACTGACACAAAATACAAAAGATATATATATATTCACTTCAAGATAACACCACCACCAACAGTCGGATGTGCTATCATAGATCACCGAGGGCTTGCAGCCAACTCCTCCATTACAATCTGTTCAGTGCAATCCTATGAATATCACAGATTGAATCCAGTCCAGCTCCTCTGACCCCTCTCTCTCTCTCTCTCTCTCTCTCTCCAATGTTCATCTTAACATTTCTCTTGCCTGTTCTTTTTCTGCAGCCCATCCAACTGTTTAGGGATTCTGTCTGCTTCGCCTCATCCAACTGTTTAGGGATTCTGTCTGCTTCGCTTCATCCAACTGTTTAGGGATTCTGTCTGCTTCCCCTCATCCAACTGTTTAGGGATTCTGTCTGCTTCCCCTCATCCAACTGTTTAGGGATTCTGTCTGCTTCCCCTCATCCAACTGTTTAGGGATTCTGTCTGCTTCCCCTCATCCAACTGTTTAGGGATTCTGTCTGCTTCCCATCATCCAACTGTTTAGGGATTCTGTCTGCTTCCCCTCATCCAACTGTTTAGGGATTCTGTCTGCTTCCCATCATCCAACTGTTTAGGGATTCTGTCTGCTTCGCCTCATCCAACTGTTTAGGGATTTTGTCTGCTTCGCTTCATCCAACTGTTTAGGGATTCTGTCTGCTTCCCCTCATCCAACTGTTTAGGCATTCTGTCTGCTTCGCCTCATCCAACTGTTTAGGGATTCTGTCTGCTTCACTTCATCCAACTGTTTAGGGATTCTGTCTGCTTCCCCTCATCCAACTGTTTAGGGATTCTGTCTGCTTCCCTTCATCCAACTGTTTAGGGATTCTGTCTGCTTCCCCTCATCCAACTGTTTAGGGATTCTGTCTGCTTCCCATCATCCAACTGTTTAGGGATTCTGTCTGCTTCGCTTCATCCAACTGTTTAGGGATTCTGTCTGCTTCGCCTCATCCAACTGTTTAGGGATTCTGTCTGCTTCGCCTCATCCAACTGTTTAGGGATTTTGTCTGCTTCACTTCATCCTCAACTCTTTTAGGGATTCTGTCTGCTTCCCCTCATCCAACTGTTTAGGGATTCTGTCTGCTTCGCTTCATCCAACTGTTTAGGGATTCTGTCTGCTTCCCCTCATCCAACTGTTTAGGGATTCTGTCTGCTTCGCCTCATCCAACTGTTTAGGGATTCTGTCTGCTTCGCCTCATCCAACTGTTTAGGGATTCTGTCTGCTTCGCCTCATTCAAGATACCCCTGGATAACATATTTGGATCTGAATGCTGGATGGACAAACATATTCTAGAACAAAACCACTCACATATAAATTATGGTTATGGCAATCTTCTCACATTTTCTCCCAATGCAGTTTGCAGGGTCTCACTATGGTGGTACAAAAAGGAAGAAAAGGGGGGGGGGGGGGGGGGTGGGGGGGGAGAGAGAATGAGATTCATAGACCCACAACCCCCTCCACTCCAAGTATGTCATAAAAAGTGACTAATTAGAGGGTTCCCTTTAAGGAGTACTTGAGAGGTGAGGAACTAACAGCGCGCACAGAAATAAAGCTAGATCGGTAAAATGGCTGTGCAAGCACATGTAAGGTTCATGGGTGGGGGCAACATTCAGAAATGAAAAAACCAGTACTTTCAACGAGAGTTTACTGCCGGCGAACGCTAAGAAGAAAATAACACATTCAATCAGTGACCATATTAATTTTTATTTCCACATCCAATAAAATTTGACTACTACAGAAAACAAACAAAAAACATGAGTTACAATAAAATAATTCCAAAACTTGACTTCCAAATAAGGCCCTCCAAAAGTTACCAGCATGAATTTTCAAAGTTTGAAAATGCCATCAAACTTGCACTGGAAAATTAACTGGCCTTTAAACAAAATTTTTTTTAAAGAATGCCACAGGTTCCACACAACAAACCAAACTGGGAGTGCAGCCTGGAGCTGCAAGAAATGTTCACTAAGGGGACAAGACATTTAATTAACCAACCCAGAACAGGCGTCATCAATCATTTACACTTGTGGAGCTTTTGAGGAGGAAATTGGAGCACATATAGATCTGTCCGTGAGTGCTGTGATGATAATCCTTTCCAATCACTAATCACTAACCAAACAGATGAAGGGTATCCTTTGTATAATGCTACAGAATCACCCCCAGCAAAACTCATGTTTGGCTGTTTACTTTTATTAGGCAATTTTAGGTAAAGTTTTCTGCCATTGGCTTTTGAATGGTCAATGCTCTATACTACTGTTGAAATGATGCGAAGAGGTCTGCTGCCTAACAGACTGCAGCTGGAATCTAGGTATTTCAGAATTATGGAGCATGTTTCACAATTCCTGAGGCTACTAACAAATATTTCTGCCCCCTCCGTGTGAGATGCCCTAAGCATGTATGTAGTGTAGTGTGCCTAATAGTTACTCTGGTAGGAAGTGTAGCTGGGGGTTAAGGGGGGGGGGGGGGGGGGGGTTTGGAAGAATAGCACATATCCCAAAAACCATACAAATCACACCAAAAAAATTTATGCAAAAGACAAATTAGGCGTATTACCTGAAATTTCAGCAAAAGACATAATGACAAAAGACAAGTACAAAACATATACAGCATTCAGAAACATATCTGGCCAAACATCTTAGCCCACAGTTACATCAAAAGTGCTAAGATGTGCTTGGCGTACATAAATATATTTGTGTGATGTGTAAGGACAACACGTTTGGTACTGGCCAGAGATGATACTCTGGCGTATTAGTCAAACTTGACAGCACATCCAATGGCAGCAGAAATGTGTTTTCTGGGGAACGTGCAAAGAAGATCAAGGAAAGACAGCAAACCCAATCGGGCAGTCCTCCAAGAAACGGTGAAAGTAAACAGATGAGTGAAAATGAAGACCAAATATTCTGGACAAGTTCTCAAAGAAATAAAAAGACCCTTTCCCACACCTTGAGGCGTATTAGGCATATAGGGCTAGACCTATATTTTTATAGACCCACAGCCCAACATGGGTGATGTGGTCAGCAGCACGCCGGCCGCCTTCCCAGGACTGCACCTGTGCCCACTCAAGGTCAGGTCGACCTGTGAACCAAGGTCATTTTTGAAAAAAGTCTGGCTCCACCATGGAGCGAACCCACTACGCCATGTCGACTCTAAGAAATGGAGACCGTAAATTATTAGAGAAATTGTGGGTAAGATATATTGTGCAACTACTACTTCTTGTGACTGTCCTTTGATTTACACCCACACAAATATTGGCCATAAAACTGACTGTTTTGTTGTTGTTGGGAGTTCCCTTTTAGTTCTCTACAACTTTGTGTATGTTGTTGACTCACTGGGCCAATACCCCTTCTTAGTGGGATGTAAAAGAGCCAGTCTTGCAGGACAAGATCTGCACACAGACCTGATGGGCACAATGAAAAACTACTTTAACAAGGCCTGTGTAAATGCTTGTTATTGTGCAACTCATGAAGAGAATAAACTTTAAACTCACTGACAACTGGAAAACTTCTTGAGAAATGAACAATGGGAATGCAGATACACATGTCTAAATGATTGTTTCACTTTTGCATTACTAAGTTCATAAGTGCAATTTTTACTGAGATATTTGGGACAGTTGCCGGAGCTAAGGCGTTTGTGGGACACTCTCAGCAGGCATCTAGCCATTTAGCTAAGACAGACCAAACCATATGGGATATAACTCGGTCCAATACTCGGTCCAATCTAGTCAATCCTCTCTACTTTTAACATAACACAGCACAAAGCAGGACAAGAACCACTGAAATTTTTTGGAAACTATCATAAAAGAATCTGAAACCCTATAGGCTAAACTTACTGACATAAAACATAGTAATGACATAAATTATCAACAAAACAAATTGTTAACCAACAGAAATTACCCATATATGTTGTTATCCATAGAAGAGTTTCAAAATATGTCTGCCACATGTTGTAAGATCTGTAATTAAACAAATGCCCATTCACATCAATGCCTTCAAGACCAGTGATGACTCCCACCCCCCCTTAAAAAAGTCCCTTTAGACACCAGTGGCACATCAGGCAAACAAGGTTATACTCATATTTCTTTAGACCAGGGCTATTCAACTGGGGGCCCATGGGCTAGATTTGGTCTTCAATGGGGCCCATGGGTCAGATTTGGTCTTTAATGGGGCCCATGGGCCAGATTTGGTCTTCAGTGGGGCCTGTGGGCCAGATTTGGTCTTCAATGGGGCCCGTGGGCCAGATTTGGTCTTCAGTGGGGCCCGTGGGCCAGATTTGGTATTCTGTGGGGCCCATAGGCCAGATTTGGTCTTCTGTGGGGCCCATGGGCCAGATTTGGTCTTCAATGGGGCCCATGGGCCAGATTTGGTCTTCAGTGGGGCCCATGGGCCAGATTTGGTCTTCAGTGGGGCCCGTGGGCCAGATTTGGTCTTCAGTGGGGCCCATGGGCCAGATTTGGTCTTCTGTGGGGCCCATGGGCCAGATTTGGTCTTCAGTGGGGCCCATGGGTCAGATTTGGTCTTCCGTGGCCTATGAAGTATGGCCTGTGGATCATTACCAGTTGTACTGTATTAATGATCTTTCTACGAGTATGTTAGGGTTCGAATCTCTGGCCCGTGATGATCTCCATTTAGAAAACTCTGGCCCCTGAGTAAACTCAGTTGAATAGCTCTGATAACGGGCCTCAATGGGTGATATGTTACACAATTCACCAGCCACCTTTACTTCCCATAACTTTACCTATTACCCATTTAAGGCTGGGTCGACTTGGGTGGGAGCCAAGGTCACATTTGTGGGGAATTCAGGCACAGTGCGGATTTTACCCCACAGCCTTCTGTTCCACAGGTGAGCATCTATTAGATCAAACAGAAACACTGTACTTTAATGTTTTGGTTGGAACAAGAGCACTAAGCTGATCTGTGATTCTGTGAGATTGCGAACTAAGACTACAAGTGCATATCAGCATGGCACATGATGCTGATATCCACCACAAATGTGTTGCAAACATGACGTGACAAATTCTCAAAGATATTCACATCAAAGTATTCTTGTCTGAAATCATAACTGTCACGGATGCGCTGTACACATTAATCTGTGACAATTCCTCAAAGATAATATCAAAGCTTTATTTGAAATGATCTATGCCATGGATGTGCTATACTCATAAATTTGTGACAATTCCTCAAAGATAATATCAAAGCTTTATTTGAAATGATCTATGCCATGGATGTGCTATACTCATAAATTTGTGACAAATTTTCACAATTAGATCAACAAATCCCTCACAATCATATCTGGGATATTCCCTGGGGTCGTGTGGCCCCATTTTGCGGAGAAACGCTTCCCAAGTCTGAATAGTGACTGGGGTCGTGTGGCCCCCATTTTGCGGAGAAACGTTTCCCAAGTCTGAATAGTGACTGGGGTCGTGTGGCCCCATTTTGCGGAGGAACGCTTCCTAAGTCTGAATAGTGACTGGGGTTGCGTGGCTCCCATTTTGCGGAGAAACGCTTCCCAAGTCTGAATAGTGACCAATTAGGAGCTTCCTAAAATTGAATATGTTGAGCCAAAGGCACAAATATCACAGCCTAGCTTTAGACCACAAAGCAACATGCTAACTAAACCCTTCAGAAGAAGTATTTCAGCAAAGGTATTCCCTTTTAAGGGCCAACTGAGACTAAGTAGAAATCTGTTAACAGGTGATATGAATTTATTTACAGTGGGTCAAGCATTTGTTTACAGTGGGTCAAAGTATCAACAATAACTTTCTGACACAAACTACTGAGATACACAATTAAGTGTTAAAATATACTGATTTAACAATCAACATCAAACACGCCGCGCATACCCATAGGTGCTCCGTCTCCCGCAGCAAATGTCTTCAGGTGTAGATGCTTATTGTTCCCGTAGCACACTGATTATAAACTTCCTCACAAAATTCCGTCCTTTTAATCCGCACCTAATTTCTCGTTTATGCATTCTTACATGTTATTTCATCTAACATCAGTCTTCTATCCAGCAGTTACAATATAATGCCCATATGTTATTTCCTCTAACATCGTGTCTTCTATTAGCAGTTCAATATACTGCCCATATGTTATTTCCTCTAACATCGTGTCTTCTATTAGCAGTTACAATATACTGCCTACATGAGAGTAAGTTATATCACAATAAGGGCATATTTGCAATGTTACAAACCGAATACTACCAACATCTCTTTAATCTGATAAGGTAAAGTGTAAGAGAGAGAAAGAGAAAGTGGGAAAAAGAAAAAAAAAGAAAAAAAAGAAAGAAAGAAAGAAAGAAGGAAGGAAGGAAGGAAAGATAGATAGAAAAAAAGAAAGAAAGAAAGAAAGATAGAAAAAAAGAAAGAAAGAAGACAGAGAGAGGGGGAGGGAAAGACAGACAGCAAGAAAGAGTGGGAGGAGAAAGAGGGAGAGGGGAGAGAGAGGGAGAGGAGAAAGAGAGAGAGACAGCATGAGATGGGGCGAAAAGAGAATAAAACTTGATGCAATAAAGTCAATCCTCTCGCCTTTAAACATCCTTCTGACCTGTCTGTCTGTCTAGGGCTGAGTTTTCCCAAATTTTCATACCGGTGACACACTATATAGACAAACAATTTGGCAACACAGTCTACTCAATAATCACATGTATAAAAGACTTAACAATCAAAGCTGGTTGCCAGTATAAAAACAAAATCTAAAAACGGCATGAAACTGCTTTAAAACAAATTTGCGGTTTTGTGTGCACAGCATTGTGTGCTGATTAATCTGTTTTACTGTATCGTGGCACACCTTCACGCTGCAGCCGACACACTAATGTGTTACAACACAGTCTGGAAAGCTCTAGTTTAGGGGTATCCTAGCAACAGTCACATATCCACATTCAAGTCTAGTATAAAATCTGATATGAAAAACATAAAATAATTTTCAGAATGCCAGAAAGATTCTACAGAAACTATGCATACAAAAACCCAGTTTCAGTTTAAACTGACCAAAAAAAAAGTAACTGTTCTTGTAGTTCTCAAAACGTGAGCATTGATTGCACCTTATGAAACAGGTAAAATCTGCTGTTTGAATGTTAATATGTCTGTGTATATATAATTGGGAAGTAAGAAAACCAGTCACTATATGTTCCAACTGTACATATATAAAAATACAAGTATCTCAGCAAATGTATATATTAAAAAACATTTTGTTTATACTTTTAATAACAAACACTGCTTTTTTGATAATTCTGTAAATGCTTCAAAAGTATGTATAGCTATTTTACGTGTGTGTGTGTGTGTGTGTGTGTGGGGTGGGGCTATTTTGGTCACCCACTTACAAAAATCTGGCTACGCAATTTATATAATCAATACTATTATTAATAAACATTATTAGGAAACCTGCCGTGGTGCAGTGGGTACCTATTCTTTCAAAAATGACGTTGGCTTCCGGGTCGACCCAGTCTAAAAATGGTACCAGGTAAAATCTGAGAAAGTAAAGGTGGCCGACATAATGTTGATCACTTCCCCCACCGAGTGTGCTCATTGGCCTATAAAATATACGTCTAGCATAATATCCCAACATGCCCAAGGCAGAGGAAAAAGGAATTTACTTTATTAATAAACACTATCTTTATAAGGATGTTAATGCTTCAAAAGCTGTATAGCTATTAAAAGTTTTTATTTTAGGGGTCAAACTTTGGCTTGAGCAAAAAACACCTAATTTTGTCTACATAATTAACACTAATTTATAAACACCACCTTTACAAGAATGCTTTGAAAGCTGGTGTATATATTTTGTTTAATAAATTTGGCCGTATTTGGTCATCCGCTTGTAAAAATCTTGGCTACTCGAATAATTCATACTTTTATTAATAAACACTAACCTCTATAACAATTTTTTTTTTTTGCTTGAGCAAAAAACACCTAATTTTGTCTACATAATTAACACTAATTTATAAACACCACCTTTACAAGAATGCTTTGAAAGCTGGTGTATATATTTTGTTTAATAAATTTGGCCGTATTTGGTCATCCGCTTGTAAAAATCTGGCTACTCGAATAATTCATACTTTTATTAATAAACACTAACCTCTATAAGAATTTTATGAGCGTTTCAAAAGCTCAAATTACATTTATTATTTTACTCTGTACTTTGGCAACATATTGGTCATCAGTGTTCAGAAATCTGGCAACGCGGTATCATTTTCATTCCCATTGGCTCTCCCACCGCAGACAAATACCTCTGTGTAAAGCAAGACATTACATGCAACTGTGGCTACCACAACAAACAAAACAATAAAATCACAAACATTTAACCCCTTGTCTCTGAGTTAAAAAAACTCAACCTGACAGTAAAACAAAAAACTCGCTGGAGCTACAGTTCCATGTGTAAACCCCCAGAGTTCTCCCATTTCTCCATGAGTGGCAGTTTACACAACTCAAGTGTAAGTACAACACCCATTTTTAACTCAGTCCTTCACTTTTCTTCAAGAAAAGGAAATAACCCTTCTTATCTTAGCTCAGAGCCAGGACACAATAAAACATAACATGCATAAACATATGCTTTACGCGACTCTCAGTCAGTTGCGTTCTTCAAGAGTTAAAATGGTTTAAAACACCCAGAGCCAATGGGAATAAAGTGATGCCAAACTGGCCAGATTTCTCCAGATGTTACACATAATTCAGCTTTATTTTAGACTTATTTGTCAAAACAGACTCAGAAGAAAATCTCTGATCACGTACTTAAGATTCTATACTACACAATTCATTGTATTTTGACAGCACAGCTAACCCATTATTTTTACCCTTCTGACTTGGAAACTCTGTTTTGATTAGCGACTTACTAGACTGCATTTTTCTGAAGAAAAAATGTTTAAGAAAGGAGACAGCCAACGACAGTGATTCATTTGTTTGGTTTAGGATAAGACAATATCACCATTCAAGGTATGGTGATTTATTCATTTAGATTCACTGAATTCACAATTAGCTATTTTCTGCTTGATTAGCATTAAAAATACAAGCAAATAACTTTTTTTAAATTTTTATTTCCGAGGTGAAGGCAGGGGGTCTCTGAGCCTGCGGATTTAAGGCCTCATGCCTAGTTTTGTCGCCACGGACTGTGCACTTATAGACAGATTTTAATAAATATATAACTATTGTTTGGCAGGAGATATGGCCACCCAGTGCCAACATATTCAACTGTAACTAACTTTGTTAATATTTTCTCTCCCTTTTAAACCGTTATATTTAATGTAATTTACAATTATAACTAGTGGATTCCATTTTAGTACAACTTGTATGCATCATCTCTGTTTACGATTTTCCTTTTTTGTTAACGTACATTTTATTTATTGTTTGTTGGACAGGAATTTACTAATTTTTTTCCTCCCTGAAACCTAGCTGACATTCTTGTGCATGTATAATAAAACGTAATATTCTTATATTAGCTCACTTTACAGAATTAATTAGCCTACTAGGAATATGGTTACTGGCTTCAATTCAAGTACCATTGTGCTGTATACAGTTGGTACTATCCTTACACAATAAATGACAGCATCACTAACAGTCTTTCAAATCATTTAGCCAAGAAATCCTGGCACGTATCCAGGGGACACAACACACACTTTCTAGATCATCCACTCTGGCATATCACATTGCTGTGTCAT